CTCTCTCTCTCTCTCTCTCTCTCTCTCTCCCTCTCTCTGTTCCAAAACACCCTTCTCATGTCATGAATAAGAACAAGACAAGATTGCGTTCCCTCCTCCCCCCTTCCCAAGAGAACACAGACAGATTGTATACAAACATCATTTTTTGTTTCAGATCGGCCAGTTACACTGTGAACTTTAGCCCTTGCATATTAAAATATTTTTAAAAGCCTAATCCTGCTCTCTTGCCGTAGTGAAAGCAAGATCGCTAATATTGTAGTACGTAATCTATCTTAGAAATTGTGAACAGTACATTTTATTTTGCCGTCTGTAAGATCAAATTAGGCTTCAGATGAGCGAAATTTCCTTTGAGAGCTCCCCCCCCCCTTAAATTTATACTCTAGGTCAAGAGATGTAACAATAGTCATTTCAGCGTGAGAAAAGGCAAGGCAAACATGCCGGAAAACCGGAGTCTGTGAGACAATGGTTATTATGCTCTTCGCCGTGGCAAAATGAAGACGTGAGTTTTGATGTCCAAGTTTTAAAAGTTTTTTATGGACTTTGTTTCTTTGTTCGTTTCTTTGTTTTAGTTAAGAGAAGCACATCGACACAGTAATGGTCTTTTAGAGCAGAGCAAAAGGAAAATAGATCGAAACAGCTGAGGGAAAGTAAAGAAGTAGGACCTATCAGTGGCGTCCTCCAGCCACCCGCTTTTACGGAGTGTTTCTGTCTGTCTGTCTGTCTGTCTGTCTGTCTGTCTGTCTGCTGGGCTGTTATATTCCATTCAGACTGAGCTGGCTCTGATAGGCAAAGTGGGAGCAGCCCACCTCCTAAATGATCCAAACGAGTGTCCATGGGGCCGTAAAACATTTGAAAATTTTCAACACCTCTTTTAGTAAAAATCAAGACCGCCGAATCCAGAATAGTAGAAACAATAGACACATCGTTATCACAGTGAGGAAAGGCAAACCAGACAACTAGCTTAAGGACAATACAGAATAAGGGCTTATAGTAATCTCTCTCAACCATCCCCACCCCCCAAATCCCCCTGTCCCCCAAAAAACAACAACAAACAAAACAAAACAAAATCAACTCCAAGCAAAACAACAAAAATATCCCCCAAAACAAACACACAAACAAACAAAAAAGAACAAACCAAAAAGAACAAAACCTAACAAAGAACAAAAAAACAAACACCAAAAAAACCCCCAAAAACCCCAACAGAGACCCACCATATTATACTCACCCATCAAACTCTAGCAAAATGTAATGTGTCACTCACCTGGAGGAACAGTCGAACAAGTCTCGTGCAGTGCGAAGTATTCTCAGCAGTTAGACAAATTGCACCAACACTACAAACGATGAGTACTGCTTCTGCTAATGCTGATATCTCTGCTGCTAGTTCCTCGTTATGGTTGTTGTGCTTTATTACTGCTACTGTTGTCACTGTTGTTGTTGTTACTGTTGCTGTTATTGTTGTTGTTGTTGTTGTTGTTGTTGTTGTCGCTGCTGCTGCGGCTGCTGCTGCTGCTTCTGCTGTGGTAATGGCCTTCGCGTCCAAGACTTCACCCTAGTCCAGTGTTCAGACCAAAGTGAAGAATTGTCCTCACGACGTTCCAATGAAATGCTTTCAGAAGGTAGACTAATTCTCCCCTGCAGTGACAAACAGCGGCGAGGTGAATCGGTCCTGAAAAACAGAGAGAAAGAGAAACTTGCGTCATTTAGACAGAGGGAAACACCTGTAGATTTACTGCAGTGCGCAAGCAATCACAGACTGTCTAAAGCAGTGGGGGAGGCAGTTGTCTTCATCGATGACCCGACCTTGGTTCTGTCTTCACACATTGTCATTTTGTGACTCTCTCACTCTCTCTCTCTCTCTCTC